TAATCCCCAAATAAGAGTCCTTATATATAAAGGATCCTTAATTCTACCTACCTTCATCCCACCTTTTGAGGCCTCCTTTTGTTGTTGGTAGGTCTGGGGGTTTTAGGGGGGCTGTAGGGTTTAAGATTTAGGGCTGAAGATTTAGGGTTTAGGGTTTCGAGGTTTAAGATGCAGGGTTTAAGATTTAGGGTTTCGGGGTTTCGCGCTTAGGGTTTTGGGGTTTAGGGGTGAGCTCTGGTTGGTGGGGATATAGTCTGGGCTTTGGAGTACCATACTTTAATACTTTCTTTGGGACCTGTTCCTTCAAGGAACCATTATGATATAAAGTCTATAGGGTTTAGGGTTTAGGGTTTAGGGTATAGTTTTTTCTCCCTGGTTACTTCAAAGCCCAGTAGTTGAAGCCTGGGTCAGTAAGTTAGGACGACCATGCCTGAGGGTTCCTTATGAAGGGCTTTCAGGGCTTTAAGAGTTTTAAGGGTTTTAAGGGTTTTAAGGGTTTTAACGGTTTTAAGGATTTTAAGCGTTTTAAGGGTGTTAAGGGTGTTAAGGGTTTTAGTTTTCAGGGTTTTCAGAGTTGTAAGGGTTTTCAGGGTTTTCAGGGTTTCAGTTTTAAGGGTTTTAAGGGTTTTAGGGGTTTTGATGGTTTTAAGGGTTTTCAGGGCTTTGAGGGTTCAAAGGGTTTTAAGGGTTTTCAGAGTGTTAAGGGTTTGGGGAAGTCTGAGAAACAGTTTAGCAGTGCGCCGCAAACAGCATCTTCGCCGCTCACAGACAACAAAGGCTCCAGAGGAGCTATCGAGGACCAGCAGTCCAATGCGCCGACGATAGTCCCGGCGGTCACACCTGAGGCGGTGAACACCAATGCATACATTGGAGTACCGCACTACATGTTCTGACGCGTTGGCAAACCCAAAGCGGGCCGGCCCGCATCAAGCGCAGAGACGCTTCGACGAAGAGGTGCAGCTCGCTCCAGAAGTGCCAGGAGCTCAAGTGCGCACCAAGTTGCAGCCTGAAGCGCTCGCCGTCTCTCTGACAAGGTTTCGCCACATCAGCAATGTCCGGTGGTTTGCAAAGCGGGCGCGGTCGTCGGCTGCATCAGACTGCAGGGTCACAGCCATCAAGGTTTTTCGTTGCGATTGTGGTGCCTGTACAAGAAATGGCGCTCTCTGGCGAAACGGGATCCATACATGGCTGTCCATATTGCTAGTGCTCATCTGAGCATTCAGACCAAGGAGGCGCTCAGAGCTGCTCTCAGACCGGTGTACACAGCAGTGAGCGCTAGCGACTGGCATCGTGCTGCACAATGGTCGTCGGTTTAGGATTTAGGGCTTTAAGGGTTTAGGGTTTAGGATTTAGGGTTTTAAGGGTTAAGGGTTTAGGGATTAGGGTTTTAAAGGTTTATTAGGTTTAAAGGGTTTTAAGGGTTTCAAGGGTTTAGGAATTGTCGTCGGTTACACTGTCCTACGACGCCCGAACCGAAGTCCATCACGATTTCCACAACAAGCGCGGGGCGAACTCTCTGAGCAGCTGAATGGTACAGTACCCAATTTTCGGGCAATATGACCCCCTATAGACTTGATCCTAAACCCTAAACCCTAAACCCTCAGTTTGCCTTTTTTGGGCTTCGGAATCCAGGAGTTAAGTAGTGTTTAGGGCTTCCGGGGTTCAGGGTTCTAGGGTTTAGGGTTTAGGGGTTGAGGGTTTAGGGGCGTTTGGACTGAGGGCAGCAAGCGGTGTCTTTGGGTTTGCCCTAAGCCTCTGCCTTCGCCTACCAAAACCTGCCTTTTTTGAAGGGTTCCCGCAAATTCGATAAGAGGGTTCATAATCAGAACTCATGGTAGATTAAGGATTGGATTTAGATGCTGTTGCCAGTTCGAGGAGCGGAGTTACCATCGTGGACTGGAACAAGGACGACGCCGCTGTGAAGAGCGCGTTCAACGACGCTTGGCGGGGAGCACGGCACGGTGTCGAGCTTAGGCTTTAGGCCCTAAAGGCTTTGGGGTTTAGTGTTTAGGTTTCTTGGCGCCTTGGAAATCGCACTTTGAGGTCGAGGGCCTTAGAGGCCTTCATCTTCAGATGAGGGCTGCAGAGGTTAAGACAAAGGAAGCCCAAGGACTCAGATGTCCATAGATGCAGTCGGCGTCATCATTTAGGTGTCGGGTCTCCGGATGATCTTCTTATTCTTGGATAGGCGGGCCAGGTTGTGTGAGGAAGAATAGGGGTGAGAGCTACGTCCCGTTCTTGGGGTTTAGAGTTCAGGGTTTTGTGTTTTATCTACATCTCTGTTCAGTGCCCATAGCTCAGTCGTGACCCTGAGTTCTTGCATTCGGTGCCACTGTAAGCCTGATCAAGGCAGCAAGAGCTCCAAACGGTAAAAGCCCTGACTAATCGCCTCCCGCCTTGCAGAAAGGATAGGGGCCCGAATATTTATTATATAAGGCCATTGTACCCTGTACCCTAAACCCTTAACTCCCTAAACCCTAAACCCTAAACCCTAAACCCCCCTAAACCCGAATATTAAGGCCCTTGTCGAGAACCGGGGTTATCAATCATTAGCCTGTAACCCGACACAGTTTAGACTTGTAGGGTCAGGGGATCAAGGGAAGAAGTAAGGTGACACCTTAACTTGGGGTCTGAAGTGATCACAAGTTTAAGAACCGGAGTTTCTATGGTTCATGATCCTTAAAGTAAGCCCTGACCGAGAATTTTCTTCTCCTGCAGACATTCTAGTCGGGTTTACAATGAAAGCCTTAATAATTGTCAATATTATTCCGAAGGTGATGCCTTAATACATGTTTTATTCCATACCCCCCACCCTAAACCCTAAACCCTAAACCCTAAATCCACTATAGTATAATATACACCGTAAAAACCGAATCCAAGTCCAATTATTCAGGCTCCTACAAAACCCTAAACCCCTAAACCCCTAAATCCTAAACCCTAAACCCTAAACCCTAAACCCTAAACCCTAAACCCTAAACCCTAAACCCGCAGCCCAGCACAGCCAAAGGCTCTTCAGCAAGGAGAGGACCTGCACTTTTCTTCAGGATCCCTGATGATAGTATTCCTTTCGCATATTATAGTAATATTATAGTAATATTATAGTAATATTATAGTAATATTATAGTAATATTATAGTAACATAATAATAATATTATCGTAATATTATAGTAATATTACAGTATTATTATAGTATTATTATAGCAACGTATATTATAGTATGCTTCTAGTATGAGTATCGTATATTATTCCTCTCACCGTTTGATGTGCAATTCTGTTTTAAGGGACTTTGGCGTTCTCTGGGAAGCTTTAGCCCCAAACCCGAAGCCCTGAACTTACTTTTGACCCCCAAACTAGATCAGTGAGCCCGGTTTAGGGGTTTAGGGTTTAGGGGTTTAGGGCCGGGGGTTTAGGCCAAAGCCTACAATTGAGGACGTCGTCGACATGGTGCGAGAGTGTGATGTCATCGTCAGCTTCTCGGACGGCATGAAGACATGGTTTGGGGCTTCTGGGGGCGGGCATTTTGGGGTTTCGTGTTCACTTCAGGGTTCAGGGGGAATATATGGTTGGGGTTTAGGATTTAGGGCCCGGTGTTTAGATTCTATAGAGGTATGAAGACATTAGGATCTCTTCTTGATTGGGCTATGTCGGTGGCGTGTGGCAACACGCAGGGCCCCATGCCCCAGAATGAAGGAAGACACCTCAAATCATGTCGTTGTCTCAAGGTATGTTCCTTACTAGTGTTCGCTTATCCATGCAAGAAAGGGCTGCCTAAGTCCAGAACAACCCAAATCTCCGAACGTAAATCCACACCCTGACTCCCAAACCCTAAACCCTAAACCCGAAAATCCGAAACGCTAAATCCCCTAAGCCCTAAAGCCTAAACCCTACACCCCAAGCCCTGAGCCCCACAGCCCGGAAGTCTGTAACCTAACCCCTCACTCAGCCCACGCACACCGAAAGCCCTTGAATCCGAAATCCAAAAACCCCCGCACAGAACTCCGAAGCCCACCTGGATAGTAGTCGAGATGAGGTTCCCTTTTGGGGTCCTGGTTGAATAGTTGGGACCTAGAAACGGACCCTAGTTTGGAGAACTTCCCACACAGAACCCCTTGGAGGGTTGAGGCTTTAGCGTATTAGGGCTTACGATGTAGGGCTTTGAATCTTGGGTTTCGGGGTTGAGGGTTTAGGGCTTCGGTCTTAGGGTTCAGAATCCCCCCAGAATCCCAAAAGAACCCTCACAGATCCCCTTATAGAGCCCTACGAATTGAACTCCTTACACTTAGCGGAGCCCTGTAAGCTGTAACACCTTATGAACTCAGCAACTAAGCCCTAATCTCTGAAGCCCCAAACCCCCAAATCCCCCAAACCCCGAACCCCCTAAACCCTAAACCCCTAAACCGCCAAACTCCTAAACCCACCGAAACCCTTAAAGGAGCCCTTCTAGATCCCTTTTAGATCCCTTAGGAGGCCCTGAAGGAATCCCTTAAAACTCTAAGCCTCTCAGGCAACCTCCCCGAGGCGTCCATGGGCAGCGCTGTGGAACTGTGGGAGGCCTGGAAGACGGAAGCGTCCCTTCTCAAGGGCTCCCTTGAAGGATCTATAAGGGTTTAGGGTTTAGGGTTTCGGGTTTGGGGTTGGTTTAGGGGTTTAGGGTCTATGAGGGGCTCTTCTTGGGATTTATAAGGGTCTCTTTAAGGGACTTGTACGGGCTCCGGTAAAGGGTACTATCGGGCTCCTGTAAGGATCTATAAGGGTTGAGGGTTTAGATTCCATAATCGGGCTCCGGTAAAGGGGGGGGGTTAGGGTGAGGGTTTAGGGTTGCTGGTTTAGGGTTGCGGGTTTAGGGTTGGGGTTGAGGGTTTAGGGTGTTAACGTGGTTTACTCAAAAGGGCTACTATACGGGTTATCAAGCAGGTTATAACAAGGGTTGCTATAAGGGTTGAAAACTAGATTGCTAGAAAGGTTACTGTGGGAGGCCCGAGATTTCACAAGACGCCTGTAGGTTCTATAAGGATTTTGGAAGGGTTCTGCAAGGGGTTCTACACTATACGGGTTCCGAGGCTCCACCCGGAAACGCTAAGTCCAAACCCTAAACCCTATACACCCTATACTACACCCCATACCCTAAACCCTAAGAGTTGTTACGGCAGTCCAGTTCTTGAGCTCTTGGAGACGAAGATATCACAGGCCTGGACAGGCAAACAGGGGTTTAGGGTTTCGGGGTTTAGAGTTGAGGCTTTGGTGAGCACGCCTGATCCTGTGGGTCTTCTCCGAGTTGTGGGGCAACCTGTAGCAGAGAGGAGAAGGTGCTTACCCTAAACCCTAAACCCTAAACCCTAAACCCTAAACCCTAAACCCTAAACCCTAAACCCTAAACTCTAAACCCTAAACCCTAAACCCTAAGCAAAAGCCCTATGAGAGCCTCACATGATGCTAAGATATTCATCCGGGGTTTCCTACTTGGAGGTTCATGGGTGGTTATAAGTAGGGCTACAAGTTATAAGTAGGATATCTATAGCTCTAGCCCAAATTAGATAACCAAAGGACTTGTAACCCACTTATAGCCATCCAGGAACCTCCCAGCCTGGGGTTTAGGGTTCATGCAAACACCAACTCACATCCCATTCAATAAACTAGACAAGTACTTACTTTACCGAGCTACAAGTACCATAGCTCCAGTCAGGGAAAGAGTCCTAGGTACTGTTATGACCTTGTCTTGCTGTCAAGCCCCGAGATGGGCCCCCTAAGTCGTGCTGTGATGAAAAGCTGTTGGACGCGACCCTAAACCCTAAACCCTGAACCCTGAACCCTGAACCCTACACCCTAAACCCTAAACCCTAAACCCTAAACCCCAAACCCCTAAACCCTAAACCCCTAAACCCTGATCCCCAAACCCTAAATCCTGAACCTAAACCCCCTAAACCTGAACCCTAAACCCGAAAGACTTGGGTTCCTGCGGAGGCCCGCCGTGCTGGGCTGAAGATCTTCACGCATCTGGACGTAAAAGCAGGGATCTATAAGGGTTCTATAAGTTTAGTGGTTTAGAACAAACATCCGATTTTACCTGTGGCCCGAAAGGCCGACATTTTCCAGGATATATATATATATATAATTGCGAACAGACCTCGATGCCTCTCACAATCATGAGGTATCACTTTGTGAGCTTTGAGACATGTACAT